CATTTTGCTCCAGATAGAAACCTCCCAAAACATAGAGAATATGGTGTGTTATTTAAAAAATTAAAAAGTCAGCAGTTACTTTCAAATAACGTCCTGCCAAGGAAGGAAATCTCATCTTGAGAGAAAATTGCAATCCTTAACAAAGATACTAACTCACAAAAAATGGTGTGGATCTTTACTCATTCTTTAGACTGTGGAGGAAAAAAAAGAAAACCTCCTAAATTCCTTGCTTATTAAGCTAGTCATGCATTTCATTGCAGGTTGTAAAGCAGTAGAACATGCACAAGGGGCTCATAAGCATATTTTAGAGTTAGGGAATATCATTTACACCATTTTATATTGTCAGTATTACCCCTAGAGAATAAAATTAAGTTTGAAACTACTGTAAATCTACAGTTTTGCTCACCTTTGTATAATTTTATTTTTAATAGAATGAGACGCACATAAATGAATATGTGGTTAAGGGATAAACCTAATAAAATAATACATTTACAACACACTAGTTTATTCAAATCTTGAACATATATAGTAGAACAAAATACTTTTATAGAGTTTGTGTTTTTCAGTGACATGCATTGAGTAGATTTTGGATTTTCTTTGTTGGAATGAAATTTTGACCAGGTCTTATTGTTTTTTCTGTGCAGCCTGAACACTGATGCCGGAACTCCAACTGATCATAGGCACGAATAGGGTGCTGTAGCAGTTACCAGCTTATCTAGTGTTGTAATTCTTTAGATTTCATACTAAAATTCTTAAAATATGGAACCTTCAATTACTATTTGTTCATTACTGATAAATAGAATCTTGCACTTACAGGAACAATGTGCTAGAGAATGGGTTTCATATGTTTTTAGGGGATAATCATAATGATGAGTGAGTGAATATGATACTTTATACTTCTTTAATCCCTTTTTTTCAAGGAGTTCATAGTGCTTCACAAACATTATCATATTAATTCACACAGCATCCTAGTGGGGTAAGTAGGTGGAAAACATTTTAATACACAGAAAATGTTATTTCTAGATGGTATGAGATAAAATGTAGACATTCCTGCTTTAAGTTGTGGTTACTATGAAATAGATTTATTTGTCAGACCTGGTAATTAACAGAAAGTATATCAGGAGGTAATTCATTTGTACAATTAATGAATATTTGTTATCATGGCCTGGGAACTCACTTTTCTAAAAGAAAGACTTTGCTGTAGGGTTCTCTAAGGAAATAGAGGGAGCTCTAGTTTTTAGTGTTTACCATGTCTACAATTTCCTTGAATTGTTGTTGGTGGAGCAAAACATTTAACCCCTTTCTGCTAGCATATTACTTATCTGTAAGAAAGGCAATGATAAATTAGACTACTAAAAAATCTCCTTTTATTCATTTTCTTCTCTCTTATCCCCAGTCTTGCTTGCTCTTTGTTATGTGATCAATAAGCAAACAGAATGAAAAATATATAGACATAAGAAAATAGGCAGATGCAATGGTACATTTACATCATGAAAATTTGTACCTTCCACCCTCTGTTCTAGATATGGCCAGATGCATAACATGTTCAAGTGATTAGAGCCAAATGTATCACTTGGCTTGAATTGCCCAGGGAATGGCTTTAAGTATTTTTAACTGTTTATTTAACAGATACATGGTCAAAGACTGATGATATATACCTGTCATCATTTTTATGCCTCCTAAGAATACAATAGCTATTTAAGTAATTAGAAACATTTAATTTCACTCCTAAAATGCCTCCTTAAATCAAGCAAAATCTGATATATTTTGTTATATCTGCCCTAGAATTAAGTTCTGATGTGACCAAAGCATCACCCATCTTATGCAAAGGGCCAAATGAGTTTTATCCATTCTATTTGTTAGACTGGATAAAACTTTATCACTTCCCTATGGCAGTATATACAGTTTTAGTTGGAATTGCAAATATTCTACATACTATGAAATATTTCATTATTTCATGTCAATGAATATGACATTTTAGTCATTTTATATACAGAAAGATTTTTTAAGGCACAGACATTTGGCTTCAGATGCTCTCTATGGACTATAGAAGGTCTGCTTTTGTGGAGTAGGTATGATGTTTTAGCCCAATTCAGAAAAAAAATCTATATTAGAAGTAAATCATAAATAAGGTTTAGGCAAATCAAATGAAAAATGTTATTAATATCAGATATCTGACCTGAATAACAATGAAATATAACTGAAAATAAAACATCATGAAATTTCTCAACATTATATACTCAAATGGCACATGTGGAATGATAGGGAAAATTGAATATCATTTTCAAATTAAGGCACTTAAAAACACACTACTGCTAATATATATATATATATATATATTTTTTTTTTTTTTTTTTTACTTTGGTTGACCATGAAGAATCCCCTTGCATTTTCTTCTGGACTTTTTGCACATATCTACTTTATGACACCTGATTTATCTAATTTTTTTATAATCTTTAGATATATAACACAGGAGGCAAGTCTTACACTTAAAGGACCTTGGGATAGCCAGCTGTGGCCCTCAAAAGATAAATCAACCAAGCAGTATATTGTCTCTTGTATGGAGAAGGCCATACCAGCCTTCTGTGCCATGGGTTATACCCATGTCAGGCAGTGTTGTGCTAAGGGAAGGACTGCATGGAACTACATTTTTACTTAACACTGATCATGTTTTTATGCATCAAATTTCCTCTTTACCTATTGGATGAATCTTAAAGTAAGAAACCCTGCCAGCACTCCCCAGATAGTATGAGTCCCTCCTTCTAAATTTCCAAGCTCCTAACATTCCAAAGAGGGTTTGTTCATTGCTCTTCCTGATCTTTAAAATTGTTTACATCCAGAGTGCATATTAGATCATCTCTGTTTGGAGCTCAAGTATGAACCCTCTTAAAAACATGAAACATAAACATTCAATTACTAATTAGCTGTTTCCTGTTCCTAATGAAGTGAACACGCTGGGTTTGTATTGAAATTCAGCTACTGTACTTCTCTGTTTATGGTTCCAGATGTTTTTGTTTTATCTAGGAGTTTGCTTTGACAGCTACTACTAAATGATAAATCACTCATATTATAGCTGAAATGCATTTTGAAATTGAAATGTGGCAAACTTTGAGATTGCTCCAAGGATCAGTGTCAGTTAGCAGGTCAATATTGGCTCCTACTTTTTGGTCATTTAGCATTGCCATATGTAAAACAATAACAGAATAGGTGTCAGCTTTATACAGCATGCTACACAGGAGTGTATTTTGCTACTGATCTTAACATTGGGGAAAAATTTACTACTATGAAATCTCAATTTGTTGTATTCTGGGGAAAAAATTGATACATATAAATATTGTTTTCTTGCTAACCTAGGTTTTTTTTAAATTCTTTTTTATTTTCAAGTTACTATAGAAACTGTTCCTGATAGGCCTTATAAGCAGGGACATTTAATGAAGTGTGTGGGCAGATATGTTTGTCTCTTTTAATACAGACATGAATTACACATAATAAATGAGATTTTCAGTAACTGCATTTTTCTGAATGAAGAATATTGATTGTCTTTTGGCACTCACTGCTGTGCTTATGTACCTTTTTAGAGGGCATTATTTGTTTTGCCATTGCTTTCAAGTTTATAATGTTCACATTTTGTACTGCATGACTTGAGCTTTACTATATTGTATAAATTTGAATCCTGGTAAAATAACTGTCTTGCATTTGATGTTGAAGATCTTTCCTATGATATTTAGGCTGTGTATACAGAGGATGAGGTAGACTGGAGAACTAAGCAACTAACTAGTTAGTTTCATCAGAATAAATATTCTCAGACTCCAATTATCTGGATTTACAAATAACCAGAGAGTTTCTAAAAATATAAGCTTTGTTTTATTTTGCTCTGCTAAAAATATCAGATATATTCTATGTATTCCTTGGGAAAATATCTGGTTGCCAATTATGTGAGTTTTGTCCAATTTTATAGCTATTCTGACTAATACAGAATCAAACTTTTTTATTCTCTTATTATCTTACTTTATTTTTGGTTCAGAAATCTTATCCAAAAATTTCCATTGACAGACCATGATACCCTTTACACAGAAAGAATAAATATTTTAAAGTTACCATGCATAAGGTCCAAAAATGTATACTTTTCTCCTTACAATGCTAAGCTTTGAACCAGAAATAAATGAATATTTTACACTAGGCATATCAGTTCAAAAATGATAATGTATTCTTTATATGTGAAGATAATACATTTGACTCATAAACATAGCTTTTAGCATTTCTTAACCATAGTTAATAGGTTCATACTGATTCATCCACACTTTCTTTCCCACTCTGTCTTATTTTGTAAGCAAAGGACAATTTGTGATTAGTAAGATATCCAGGTCATAAGCCATTGTTATGGAAAATAGCAAGGTTAAAATAAAAGAAATAGAACAAATTTTTAAAAATCCTTCATTGATATTTTTTAGCCACACCTATCAAGTGTTACTTAAATCTAGGATACTATGAACTCTAGATGATCAACATTTAAATGAATATTGGTTTGACCAAAACTTCTGATCATAATGGCATGCAGAGCTGGTCTCCCTTCATGCAGTATACACAGTCTTAAGGTTAAACTTGGGAGAGGAAATTCTAAATGTATAAAGCTGTAATTATCTTAGGTCAAAATTATATAACTCCTTTCCCCCTATTTTGGTATAGGGACTTCAATGTACCATTGTGTGCAAAAGGAAAAATAATATAGATCATTATAAACATTATAACGAATTTCGTGAAAAAATTATTAGTCTTCAATTTCTTCAGTGCTGCCCAAAGAAGAGCAGAAGCTATATCATGAAAATTGAAGAATTTTTGAAAACTGACATATTAACATAATGTTGTTAACTTTTATAAATACTGAATCAGACCTGTTACATTCAATCATTTTAGGTTCCTGAAGATAAAAGTTTTAGTAATTTTTAGCATGTATCAGATTTATTCCACAGAAGAACTAACTTGTTTTCTTTTTTTTAAAGGAGGTAACTATTACTGTTTAGCAATGGCACAACAGTTTTATTCGGCCTGAAAGGTCCTCGCTGGCTTTACATAAATGAAGATGCTTGTGATTCCAGTTTATCTCTGAAACTATTCAACATGGAGTATTTTCAATTGTGTTTATCAGCAAAGCTTTGTTTACTGAAGCAGCTATTCAATCTGTTACATTAAAAAAGGAATATGTGTAAATTTTAAAATCAATGATGTAAACATTGTCCTCACATTAGATTGACCAGTTTAAGAATATGAACTAAATCCTAATGGCTAAAGTAACTTGACCATATTTGATGCTTTTCTATGATCATTTCAGCTTGGCTTTTTGTCTTTTAAGAAAAAAATACTGTAGTGTGTTAGAGACTAGATTCTTATATGTATGGTTTCTCTGTTCTTCCATATATTAAGTTAAAGTATGCTTTCTTTGTTAAAAAATGTACTTGCTAAACTTCAGTATAAATAAAAGCATTTTGACTTTGTCAATTGTTACTGAGTTTTTTTTTTCACATTGCCAACTTCATTCATGGAAATATGTAGTAGTCAGTGCAAATCAAAATATAGGAAATAGGAAAGTGTTTGCAAAGTTTTTTCCAGTTTGGTTATCCCAAATAAATAGGAACATACATCTCATTTCCACCCATTTTAACTGGCCTATATTCTTGTCCTCAATTATTCTATTTACCCACACTGGATTGCCTTTTTCTGGCTATATGTGTTTAAAGAAGCTGTTGCTATGAAGAAGGATTGTACTTGGAAGCAGGGAATATTATAATGCACAAAGAATTGTAAAATGTTTGTGAACATCTGTTATTTAAAAAAAAATTCTTCTAGAGCCATTTTCAATGGAAAAAGAACCAAAAATTAAGAAAGGTGTATATATCTACTCTGCCCACCCCCAAATTCCTGGTGCTTCTGTATGTTGAGGTGTTTAAGTAGTGAAAAACCAAGACCAGTCATAGCCCTGTCCTATGGTTTATACAATCTCTTTTTTAAACCTTATCATTGGTTCAATTTCAGTGAAATCACGGAGCTCATTAAAATTCTGGTTCACCTGAGAACATCTCAGTTTTCCCTATGCAGTGGCAGTACCACTTAGACACCTTGCCTGTCTCATGAGACTATGTGTTGAGTCTCATGAGACTCTCTTGCCTGTCTCATGAGACTATGTGTTGAGAGAACTTCTAGTTGGACACTAAATGGCTGTATGTCTTCTACTTTGGCCATGTTGCTGCTTCCACAGGTATTTTCTCTCATCATCACCTCCTCATCATACTCATTTATGTCAAATTTAAGAGTGCTGATAAGACTAAAGGCTTTTTGCCATAGAGGAGAAAGATAATTAAGGGTTTTTATTGGCTAAGCTTGCCTGCTCTGGTAGTATTCTATATCCCCATACACCTTGACACTCAAGAAACAGGGTCCACATAATCAATCATATGTTATGTAGGCTTGCTTTATTTAAAGTCCAATGTAATGACCAGAGGTCATCTATACCATTAGTAACCTAAATCTTACAGTTCCAGGTGCCCAATACTGCCAATGATTTAACCTTACCTGGTAGCAGTTACTTGCACTGACTTAACATCAAAGAGGGTAATTCAGTTTGGGGTCCTGTGGTACTTCTAGGGAAATGGAAGCAACTATATTAATCTCTTGGTTATTTGGTGCAAATGAAGAGACTGATCTATGAAACACTGGGAATGAGACCTATTCTCCATCTCCAGTATTTCATGGGATAGCATTGCTTGCCATTTCAAAACAAACCCTTGACTGTCCCTTATCACCACCCTCTTAATTTTCCATAAGAATCTTAGCCTTAAGAAAGTGAACTGGGTACAGGAAGGAAGGAATTCTGTCATTAGAGGGCAGTGTCCACAATTTTTTTTTCTCAAATACAAGCCCTCTTCTATGGTTGAGAGGATAATTGCTACATTTTTTTCCCTTTCACATTCTAGAAGTATGGCTACAGGAACTGGATCAGCCTCAGATAAATTTCAGTATCTCTGACCTCTTTAATTTTACATTTGTAGAGTACTGATGGGGGTATATCCAGCAACTACCACTGCAGACATGCTCATGAAAGCATAATATTTATTTACTATTCCAATATAAAAGTGTCTTTCCATAACTTTCAAGTTATATCACCTTTTGGGAAGATTCAGTTGTTGCCATTCTTCCCAATGTATGCTGTTCATGTTGAGTTACTCAGCAATCAATTACTATAACAAATACCTGAGATCAACTTATAAAGAGAAAAAAAAGTTATTTTGGGTCCTGGTTTGAGAGGTTCTGGCCTTTAATTGTCTGGTCCTATTCCTTTAATGCCTGTGGGATCATATGGTGGAGGAAAACCATTTATCTCATGGCCAGGTCACTATAGAGAAGATGAAGAGGCTGATTGCATTATACTCTTCAAGTTCACTCTCAGTGATCCAAATTTCTCTGACTAGTTCCTGCCCCTTCAAGGTCCCTCCACTTCCCAATAATGCCACAGGCTGGCAACTAAGTCTTAACACATGGATCTTGGGGGAACACTTATCCAAATTGTAGCATTCTGTTCATGGACCTCAAAGACTCATGTTCATCTCATAATGTAAAATGAATTTAGTCCAACTTCAAGAGTCCCCAGTGTCTTAAATATTCTGTCATTGCTAAAAAGTCCATGTACAAAGCCTTCTCTGAGATTCTAGTAAAATTCAGCTGTGATCCCTTGTTAAAAGTAAGCACATACTTCCATGATATAATGGTGACATAGACAGGTTATATATTTCAATTCTCAAAAGAAATAAGGGGAATTGAGATAAGTGAAAAGATCAAAGCAAAACCAAAACCCAGCAGAGCAAACATTAAATTCTAAGTCTCCATGTCCAGAATTTTGGGCACACGGTCCTATGGCTCCAAAAAGCTTACGAAAACCTGCCTTTGCAATCAGCATCTTGCATCCCACATTGCTACTTTAATGGGTAAATTCTGTGTGCTTCCTATAGCTTTCTTGGCAGGAATACCATGGTGCTGATGCCTTTACTTTATGTGTGTGTGTGGGGGGGAGTCTACATAGCAGCTTTTGCTTTACTCTCATAATTCTACATGTGACCCTGTCATTGGCTGCTTCCAGGGACTCTAACTGTGAAACACATTGCCTGCTTCCCAAAATTTCCTTTGAAATCTTGGTGGAGGCCTCTATGAACTCATTCCTCTTATATTCTGCATGTTTTCAAAACCAACATCACATGGATAACCCCAAGACTGGCTATAAGTGTAAGATATACCTGAGTCATTGTATACATGAGCCATGCCTGCAGAAACCTCTTCATGGCTTTCTAGCTGAACAAGGGAAAACAAATCACTAGATGGTTTTGACATGCAGGGTCCCTTGGGATTCCTTTCTGAAATGAAGGTCTTTGAAACAAATTTGCATTTCTATACATTTGAATATATAATGGATGTGGTAGGTTAGAGATTCCTGAGATGACCTTAGGCATCCTTCCTATTGGGCTGATGCAAAGCATTTAACTGCTTTATTCGGGGTACTGGGGATTGAACTCAGGGGCACTCAGCCACAGAGCCACATCCCCAGCCTTATTTTGTATTTTATTTTATTTTTTGAAGAATATTTATTTTTTACTTGTAGTTGGTCACAATACCTTTTTATTTTATTTATTTATTTTTTTATGTGGTACTGAGGCTTGAACTCAGCTCCTCCTCTCACTTGCTAGGTGAATGCTCCACCGCTGAGCCACAACCCTAGTCCCAATTTTGTATTTTATTTAGAGACAAGGTCTCACTGAGTTTCTTAGTGCCTCACTTTTGCTGATGCTGGCTTTAAACTTATAATTCCCCTGCCTCAGCCTTCTGAGCCACTGGGATTACTGGTGTGTGCCACCATGCTTGGCTTTAAATGTTTTTTATAGGCAATAATTTCTTTAGTAACTGCATCCTTTTTGGGCACATGTTTTCCTGCACTTCTTTTCTGGTCAGACTGAAAACATTTTAAATCTTTCTACCCTGCTACATTTCCTCTTTGTTATCCTTATATATTTGGCTAAATGAGGCCAGTAATTCTCATGCCTGAATGCTATGCTGCCCTAAAATTTCCTCCAACAGATAAACTTATTTGTCACCTTTGAGCCTGACCTCTCACAAAGTCTCAGGACATAGTTAAAAGGCATCTGAATTCTTTGCCACTGTGTAGCAAGGATGGCCTTTAATCCAATTTCCAAGAGTAGTCATTACCATTTGATACCTCATCAGCATAGCTTTTAATGTCTGCATTCTTATCACGGTTATGGTCTACTGAACACCCACCAGTATTACCCATTAAGATCCACTTACAGCATTTTAGGGTTTTTTTCTAGCTTTCTACTCCAAACTTTTCAAAACTCTTCCTGCAACCAATAACAAAGTCTTCTCATACTCAGGCATATAGTAAAATCAATGACCACTCCACTTATGACACCAATTTCCTGTTAGCTTTCAGTTATTATGACAAATACCTGAGATAATAAACTTATAAATAAAAAAAATTTATTTTGGCTCACAGTTTCAGATATTGAAGTGCATCCCAGTGGCTGGCTGGGGAGGCTGAGGGAGGAGGATCAGAATTTCAAAGCCAGCCTTAGAGAGACTCTGTCTCAAAAAAAAAATTATATATATATATATATATATATATATAGGCTGGGGATATGGCTAATTGGTTAGGAACCTTTGGGTTCTAACGCTAGTACCAAAACAAACAAGCAATGAAACAACAAAAACAAAATTCTGAAACAAACATTTGACCACTTCAATTTGAACTTGTAGAAAAGCTGTCCACAATCATATACATGACTAAGTGACTCACTCATTCAAAATTATAGAAAAATAGAAAACTGACAGATATTACAGGTAATGGAAAAGTAATCAGAATATTTCTCATTTGTTTGTACTGATATTTATACATGTGTGTACACACAATATATATACAAAAATACTTCTGGTTTTCTTTGTAAGCAATCACTGAAATTGAATATGGATTTTTTTCCTTTTTCTACTAGTTCAGCTTGCTCTTAAAGCATATTTACTTGTAATTTATGACATTTAAATCAATGGCCATGTATAAAGATAGTTGGCCATCATTGGGAGAAATTGTAGTCATGTTGAATATAGAATGCCTAGATGATGATGAACGTGAAGCTAAGTTCCTTAATTATTTATGCCCCTCTTGACTTCACCTGAACGATGTAAGATTCCTTCTTTTTATGCCTTCCCCTGACTACTTTGAAATACTTCTCTGAAGTTTTTAGGTGTAAATGGAATGATAGTTAAGCTGAGAACACAGACCAGGAACCATGTTATTAGCTCACATTCACTAGAAGTATGGAAGCCAGAAGCTTTGGAAAGCAAATGTACTGAGTTAGCAATGGTAAATCTCTCTAGATTATCAGACATATTTATTATAATGAGGTATGCCACTTGCTTCAATTAATCAAAGCAGAAAATCACAATAACCACAAATGCATTTAAACTCAATTAATGAATTTCATAGAGTATGCCATGATAATTCATTATGTTCTAATGAGGGAAATACTTCATCTTTGGATGACT